ACGCGTAGAAATGCTTACAGCGTAGAATGCACTGCAGCGACCCCGGCTGCGACGTTTCAGTGGCGGCTTTGCCGTACATTTTTGCTCCATATAAAAAATACCCTATACATCAAAACAGAGTATCTTACTTAATATCCATTCTGGCACGTTCACTATCTATTTCGGATGGCTAAAGTTCCTTCAAAACCCTGAAAGCAACAGCGGCCAGAGCAGCCCCAGTGCAGCGAACGACAATTTGTTATGCGCAGTATCGTTGCGTAGTAGTTTCAGTGACGTCATCCATGTGATATACCCATGTAATATCCACTTGGCGGGCAATATACCATGTAATATCCATTTTTATTCCATGTCATGTGACCGAGTCTCAACCAATCACAGCATGCGTAACAGCAGTGAGATGTGATAAATATATATATCATCCGAATGATATATATATATAAATATTTGGGATATTTTTTTTGACATTTCAATGAAGTATTTTCTTCTCTTCTCTGCGATGTTTTTTCTTTCCTAAAGGTATCACAGGAACTCTAGGATTCATCGATAATAATGGCAACGCTGAATCTAATTTCACAATCATTGCTAGGCAACAAACAAACACGACACCTGGCTACGGGATGCTACCTGTCGGCTTGTTTCAGATGATCAATTACGAAGTGGTAGGTGTATGCAAATATAATTAATCCTGTGTCACCTATGTAATGCCATATACGATGTGTAACTCTGTGTAATTATGATGTTATTAGTTCTTCAATGGATGATGCAAAAAATGTTCCATGTCGTAACGCCGCTAGCTGTGAGGGCGGTAAACTAATGCTTCATCTCCAGTCGCTGCATCAACATCTGTACAGTTTACAATCATTATAAACAACATACAAAAGAAATGCTTTCAGCTGTAGCTACTGCCACCGGTAATACAGCTTTGAGGTTTTCTTAATTAACAGTACTGGTCTGTCTTTTTTTTTTCTGTGGTGTCTACAGAGGTACGTCCCAAAAGCTGGAGTTGAAATTGACTGGGTATCTGGGATGAGACCCGTCGACCAACCGGAATGTGGTTTTTACGATGAACTGTGTCCTATTATAATAAACCACACACCAAAGTACGTCGGTGGTACTATGGGTGGCATCTTTCTGATACTGATTATAGTAGTAGCGGTAGCTTACAGGTACGTATATTACATCGACTAACGTTGTTTATGAAGTTTCACAATAATTACAGTATCATTAAATATGTAAATTAGACTATGGAATCTAATAAGTGTAGGTAACCCCAAACAATTCACCGATGTCACGTGGTGAAACCGATTTATACTCTAGCTTCAATTTAATTTAAAGTAGTGGGCATAAGTTTCCCATCAACAACAATCCTATAATTTCTGTTAAAAAGAACTTCGAGATCGGAAACATTGACTACAGCTACATAGTATCTTACTAATACCTCTATTGTATTAATATAATTCTCATAATAAAACATATTTATCGTATTGACGTAACCTTCCAGTTTCTTCGTGAAAAAGAACGGCTGAATTGAGTTTTAATAGTGTATTCTCTCAACGAATCAGACAAACACCTTATCTGGCAATGGTGAAGACTCATTCAAATAATTGCTGTATCCATGCCACCGGATCCAGATCTTACTCTCCTTACTCAATTTAATTGATTGATTGGTACCTGTTCCAAAGGCAAACGATAAATTGCGTTTCCATGGTAACCAGATCCAGATCTCTGCCAACCTGTCAAACCCTTTTAAAATATATATATAAATAAAATGAGTTATCTAGACATAAATATATTATTCCCAAAAAATCTCGTTTCTTTGGAACCGGTTCCACCTCTAAAATCTAATTAATTTTCCCGAGGGCATTCTCTCCTGAAAATGTCATGAACATTCGCCCATAACTTTTTGTGACAGACATGCAGGCAGACAGTTTTAACGAACTACAGACACACAAATTAACAAATCAGCGCTGGTAAAACGTAACCTTCTTGATGGAGGCAATATTAGGAGCAACCTCATTTCAGACAACCGCCAAACTTTGTCGAAAGTCACGAATTTTTATTAACGTGAACTGTATTCCACACATACGAAAAACATCAACGCCAATATTTGTTATCGTTACCATAGGAACTGGAAATATGAACAGGCTCTGGCGGGACTACTTTGGAAGATAGATTATCGAGAAATCATCATTAAAGGCGATGGCACATTAAATCGGTGCAACAGTAGGGTAAGTCTCGACTAATAGGTATCTGTACCAAATCACACACTGATTAGTTGCCTCATAAATAATAAAAATTGTTGACGTAAACAACCACTGAGTTCTTGTTTGAAGCGAGAGAACCACGAGACTTCTTGTCTTGCTCACAAAAAGCGACGTGATGACGGGGGAGACGGAAGTCTCGTAGTTCTCTCGCTCAGAGCGAGAACTGGACGGCCATTCGCGTCCGAGAACTTCTTCGTGCATGCGCAGTCTGTTGATTTGAACTATAGGCGAGACGCGTCTACAACGAAGGTGACGGGTTATTTATACATTTATTTATTATATCTTTGTTAGATGAGTCTCCACAGTATCGAATCCATACAGTCCGTGACAGACGCCCACACTCAGCAAATATTTACCAAAGTCGGTACGTTCAAAGGAAACATCGTTGCCATCAAGTATATAAGTAAGAAGAGTGTAGATCTAACCAGGAAAGTTCGCAAAGAACTCAAAGTTGTAAGTATTTCTTGTTATTGTCTTTGCAATAACTCGATGATTGCACAGAGAACTGAGGTCGCCGGTTATATTAGGGACTTATTTAGTTTCAAGTCTGATTTTTAGGAAGTTAATATGTATAAAATAATGGGCATGTGACCTCGAGTTGGTGAAAAATTACTCGGCCAGCTTTGACATATAAGTAAGTATTGAGCAACGAAATCAGACACCAAACACATAATCACGATAATAATAACTCGAAATTACTCGGAGAGTATATAGATACATCTATATCCTACTGTGAATATATATTCCTATACAAAACTGAAATTCAGACTGAAAATTACTATTTCCATGGTAACTGATTCCAGATCTCTTCCACATGATTAGTCGGTCCTTGTGTCAAGAGCAACTCCTTCTAAATAATCATAGCAATCTTTCCATAACTTATTCGAGCTACCAATTGAGGATCGTTTCCAAAATTGTTGTTTTCGTGGCAATGAGATCAAGATCTCTACCTAAATCGACTCGGAATCGATTGCTCTTTGTGACAACTCCTCCTGAAACGGTCAGGAAAATTCGTTCATAATTGTTCGAGTTATTCTGCTGAAAGTCAATTCAGATAGATAAAGAAATGCTGACAAAAAACATAACCTCTCCAACGAAGGTAATTCCAAGTAATAAAACTCAGAAAACAATTTGTTAAATAGAAAATACTCATTAATTAAGATGCTCGAGAGAGCATGTCGATCACAAATATATTACAAAACGCCAATACCTATTTGTACTTACAATTCCACAACGTAGTGTTAGTAACCCTTATTATTTTGTAGTTTATTACTGCTGTTCAGTGTAATTCAGACTAAAAAAAACCGTATATTAATAACGGTGTTACGGGGACATTATACTCAGTCGGTGAACGTCGATGCGGCCGCTGCCCTATTTACGATAAATTATCTTCCTGGCAGTATACTGGGATAGCACAGTTTCGCTATTTAAAAGACACGGAAAACATATTTCGTGTCAAGATCGTTCCGCGGGGAAATTATAATACGTGTCAAGTATAGGCTATTAATACGCCCACTGATTTCCATTCCATTCCGTTTACTTATTTATTTCTATCACTTGTCAACAGGTGCGAGATTTACGTCACGACCATGTCAATCCCTTCATTGGCGCATGCGTGGAATATCCACACATCTGTATCATCAATGAGTACTGTTCTAGAGGAAGTTTACAGGTAACAATCATCATTGAATAAAATGTTATCTTGACATTAAGACATTGTCTTGTCCTGGAGTAACGCAAACCTCGTTATTTGCAGCATAATTATTATAATAATAACAACTCATCGTCGATTAAGAATTTTGAAATAGACCCCCATCGCCCGATTGTCTGATTACTATGCCAGGACGGTGTGTAAGTGTGACACAGAGCTTATTAGAAAATACGTTGCGTGTAATCGGGGTTCCCATGTGGTTATCAGCTATTGCAATGCGCAGAGGGATCAGTTAGTGCCATCTTGCATAAATATTTTCATCATGCGTGTGGATCGATTCGCGAAGCCATGATTACGCAACGCACGAAACACGGACACATGAACCACTCCAATTGATTCTTTAAGAGCTTTATGATTACGTACCAAGAACCATGTTTTCATTGAATCAAATTATTCTCCAAACTCGTAAATTATGCTGCAAAATCATGTACATTCGAATCTCACAAATTAGTCTGATGAACAACGAGCTCTTCATAATCACTTGACTTGTATGGTGCCTGGAAATGACGTGCTGAAACCAGCAACTTTTTGAAATGGTCGAATCATTAAGCAATCTATTTTTTGTTTCATCTATCAGGACATCTTGGAGAACGATGAAATTAAATTAGATGATATGTTCGTCGCGTCGCTAGTTAGCGATATAATCAAGGTAAGCATGAATTAGCGAAAACATTTCATAAGATGTGATTGACTTCGGTGAGTGGGTTGGTGGATGGTATAGGTAGGTATGTGGGTGGGTGAGTCGGTTGGTTGGTGTCTGTGGATGGGTTGATGAGTGTATGATGTGTGTGACATTCTTTTTTCCTTTTATTTCTCGTATACTACATCGTTATACATTAGTAGTTATCAATGGTGAATGTGTACCCAGGTGTGCAGATACGGCCAACGTTCTCATGCACATAGAATGGTACCCATAAAGCCCCACTGTCGTCGTACAATGCGCGTTCGATATTCGAAATACTTCACACACGCTGTGTACGCTGCATGGGACCCATAGCAAACATGACAAGACACGACGGCTATATGCTGGTATATAGAATTTGTTGATTTTGGGTGAGTTCTTTGAAGACACTAGATTACTGTTATTTCCATGTGCTTTCGTTAAAGGGAATGATATATATTCACAACAGCGAATTAAAATCGCACGGTAATTTGAAATCTTCGAACTGTGTAGTGGACTCAAGATGGGTTGTGAAGATTACGGACTTCGGTCTCCATGAGTTCAAGGCTGGTGCCGAACGAGATTTGGAAGATGCTGGTGAATTCGCACTTTACAGAGGTAAATCTTCGGATTGTGTTCACGTGTTACGCAAAACGCAGTAATTCATATAAAGCGTGTACAATGAGAAAGCGGTATCATCGAAACGAGACACGTGACGGCGTGTGTATTAAACGCGTTTTCAGACTCGCAAAATACACACACAAATGTTCTCGGCTGTAGCGGATATCATGGACGTTTGTATCTCCCACGAAAATTAATATGGTTGGTGAATGTTTCTACGTTTTCATTTCTCTGTAAAAATAATTTAAAATCCTGTTGGCTATTGTACATTTCTTTTGTTTGCTTCCAGATCTTTTATGGAGGGCACCCGAGTTCCTACGCATGTCCAACCCACCAGGAGAGGGTTCCCAAAAAGGAGATATTTACTCGTTTGCTATTATTATGTACGAAATTTTCCTCCGCGCTGGTCCCTATGGCAACACTGAACTTTCTCCTAAAGGTATAAATTCTTTTCATGTTTCGACATACGTTGTATTCAGTTATTCATCGCATCTTTATATTTATGTCAATGTTTTAACTTTTTATAGAGATCATAGAACGTGTGAAAACACCGCTGGATCCCGTTCGGCCATTCCGACCAAATATTATGGATCTACTTGAAATAGACGCCTCTGACTGTGTTGTAGATACGATACAAGAATGTTGGCACGAGATACCAGAAAACAGACCAGATCTAAAGACTATAAGAATAAAAATTAAACCTATTCAAAAAGGAATGTAAGTATACAAGAACTATATTTTGCTTATGTGTGGCAGTGGTGTAGGCAAGAAAATTCCCGAGTTTATCTGACGTACTTGTCATAGATTCGTGAGTGCGTGTCTGAGGTACTCGCCGGATTCCTGTATGTGTCTATGGTACGACACGCGGATTCGTGGTTGTGTCTGCCGTACTGGCCGTGAATTTTCGGTTGTGTATATAGTACTCGCCGTAGATTCATTGGTGTGTTGGTGTGGTAATTGCTGTAGATTCCTGGGTGTCCCTGTAGTACTCTCCGTAGATTCCTGGGTATATATGCCGTACTGGCCGTGAATTCCATGGACATGTAGCCGCCGTAGATTGCTGGGCGTGTATGTGGTATTCGCCGTAGTTTCGTGGATGTTTCCATGGTGCTCACCGTAGATTCTTTAGTGTATCTGTGATACTCACTGTAGATTTGTGGCCGTGTCTGTGGTATTCGCCGCAGAACAGGAATATCTCTGTCTTTAATAGCGTATATTAGTTATTAAAAGATTGTGAAATCCTGAACATAGCAGACCGTTGCCCGATGTAGATGTGCGCGTTGATAACCCAATAACCGGAGTCGGTGAACACTATCAATCAAGATTTGATTCTAATGAGAAAAGTAATCAATCATAATCACTGGATCGTGTTGCCAATCCATTACCTGCGTGTGTTTAATTTCCGTAGTTGCTAACTGAACTTGCACTCTCGTTTTTGAAGCGATTTCGGTTCTATATCTAATAGTCTTTAATGAGCATGATTACTCATGTTTCGACCGAGCTTTTTCAACGATTTTTATGTTGATTATCACTCCTTAGTCGCCACAAGTTAATCTTAATCATCAAATAAACACAGAGTATTTTCCTTATTTTTCATCATTTTTCTTTAGTACTGTATTTTAGGATTTGATTTATTTTGCAAATATTTCGTTGTTTTACATTCGGTAGCTCTTTTGCTAGTGAGCCCCGCATTCAAAAATGGCTGCAATAAATAAATAAATGCCCCACACTCTCTTGCTAGTAATTGTGAAACTATTCTATGAGACTGAGATCATTTGTAATTTGTCCGCCTCCCATTCATGACTCTCGCAGCGGAAATAAAACTGATTTATGAGATACACTTCCCTAATTGATGTTTAAGTGACTGTGCCGTCTGCTTCAGGGTTATTACACACACGATAGATCGTTTAAAATGTTTTTCAAATCACTGGCGCCATCTAGCGACGAAACGCTTCTGTGACGTTGAAATAAGCAATCGACGACTCTGGTTTAGTCAATTAGAATGTAGAATATCTGCCAATGACAGACGGCTACAGGTTAATATGATATCGAGGCTGTTTACGACGTCACGTACACGCATTTACGTCACAGAAACGTTTCGTCCTAGAGGGCGCGCATCATATTCTAAATTCACTACAGTTCATATACATTATGATGATAATATTATGACTACAAAAATCCAACCAATCATTGCACCTGTTAAACCAATTGATACATAACCAACACGCAAATGTAATTTTTAATCGAATTGTTTTTTTAACGCTTGTTAATTTTAACGATAACTTGTGGTCAATTTATCATCGCGCGCGTACAAGCGCTCGTGGTTACGTGGCAGCGACCGTATTAATCAGACAGCTCAGACGATGACGATGTTATGGATTTGCCTCAAGTCACTTACGCTATCTGTTGGATTTTGGTATAGTTATTTCATGAATTTGACTCGTCCGTGCTTATATGGGGGCCAGTCTAATGTTTTTTAAATGCGATTTCCTGACAGTTTTTTAGTAAATATTCTATTTTCTGAGAAAATACCGAAAATAAACAAAACAAGATTTTGTAGGTTTAAAAAGCCCGATATACCTCATATGCATCATTGTATTTCTCCGCAGGAAAAACAACATTTTTGATAACATGATTGCCATCATGGAAAAATACGCCGATAATTTAGAGTCAATCGTTGATGATAGAACACAGCAGTTGATTGAAGAGAAGAAGAAAACAGACAACTTGCTACACAGCATGTTGCCAAAGTAAGTGGCAATGCATTTAATGTCAGTAACTTATAGTGCCCTTAGTCACAATCGCCGCATGGTCGTTGTTAATATCGAGAGAAGTTCAATGCTGATGGCCCATACTAATGAAGGTAATATTTAAAACAGCATGTATGCAGCAGTTGTCGTGTCTCTCGAGGGAAAACAAGGTGTCACAAAAACTGAATATCCTAACGATGAGCACAGGACAATTTGGATCTCGTTGTATTACCTGTGTAAACATGAACTTGGTATCCTTTGCCGTAACTACTATTCCAGCCGTCGAAATAATTGAGATCGGGGTCGTGAAAAGGGGTTCCTTTTTCAAAAGTTCTCAAAAACCACAAAATTTACTTTTAAAATAGTAGACAAAAATCGGGTGAATTTTTAATCAGGATAAGTAATTCTCTCCACATTTCTGTCCTGTGATTTCGCGCTGTAGCTGGTCAACTTGTCAGCCGACCTGATTCTTGTGCGCGGCGGATACACTTGTTCTGAGTGTGAGACTCCGCTCCTTACTTTTGAGCCAAGAACCTTCCGGAAAAAGAAATACTCTAAAACGGGTGTACGGCCAATTTAATTTCCGTTTTTGTAGTACATTTCGTGGTTGTAGTAGGTTATTCGGAAATTAGCGTTCAACACATTGCTTGCAGGTCTGCCACACCGTATCAGTACATCAACGTACCTGGTGCGAACTAATGATACACGTTTTGCACCTTCCTGATACCATTGCCAATCACGTCTCGTCAGATGAACGAGTCATGTATATTTCTATTTGTGCATGGGTTACCATGTCGCATTGAGTAAATCGCTTGGTTCATACACTACTAACAGCAATATCGACACTAACGTTGATCAAAATATAATATTAATATTTTTTTTCAAATTGAATTTCTAAATTAAATAAAGTTTAACATAACTTTTAGTTCAATTCTCCAATGACGACGGCGTTGATCATACAAATGTGTTTGTTTTTCTTAATAGGTCAGTAGCTAATTCCCTTAAGAAGGGACGACCTGTTGCCCCCGAAGCGTTTGAGTGCGTGACAATATTTTTCAGCGATATAGTAGGCTTCACAGCATTGTCCTCGGCGAGTACTCCCTACCAGGTAATGGAAATACTGACGTTATTTATAAATACAAATTCAATATCAACACGTGTATCGCTTGATGTTAACCTATTCATAATGGTAATAACCGGCGTTCCTGGTTATTGAGACGATGTGTTCTCATCGTGGCCGATCAATACCACGTGGAGATCTGCTATAGGGGCAATAACGAGTCGGTATTTAGAGCAATGTACGAACACACGTATAAATCAACAATAACGTTTTGCACGAATCCGTTTAAGCAAGAGCCCTGCTGCGATTATTATCACTCTAAGCAATTCAACGTCGATATCACTATTTAAACAAACATACTTCCCCTGTTATCACGCAATAACCAATACCATACATTTAAATGCCTATTACGATCGTTCCGACCAATCATATTTTGTCCCTGTAGGTAATCGATCTGCTCAACGATCTGTATACGGTGTTCGACTCTACCATAAAGAACTACGACGCTTACAAAGTGGAAACGATCGGCGATGCCTACATGCTGGTGTCAGGTCTTCCCATTCGTAATGGCGACAGGCACGCTGCTGAAATTGCATCTTCCGCTCTCCATTTGCTGGATGAAATAGGTCACTTTCAAATCAGACATAGGCCTGGGGAACAACTGAAACTTCGTATTGGCATTCATTCGGGTAAGAGCACAATCGGTTTATATTTAAACAAATGACATTACTCCACAAATACAAATATAAAGTGTGTATTATCAATCTATCATTTGGATTAGGAGAACCGAGTGAATGATAGTCATAACATCGTGTGTTTTTTTTATGTTGACAGGACCTGTTTGTTCTGGTGTAGTTGGTCTAACAATGCCGAGGTATTGTTTGTTCGGTGACACTGTCAATACGGCGTCAAGAATGGAATCGAACGGTCTTCGTAAGTATATATTGAAAAAAGACACGTAATAGCATACAGTCACGTGACTGTTCATCTTTCCTGTAATCTATTTAACTACCTTGATTGGTTATCTGACGACCGTCAGAATTGTTCATTTCGTGTTGATAACTGCAACTCAATTTTTAATTAGTCGATGTAACCTCATTGATATGCATGACTAATAGATATTTTGCTACGTCTGTGGCGACTGCGCATATCACAGAATACGACTGTATGATTTGAATTCCACTACTGTAATGTACACTTTTACAAGCTGCACTTCACATAACAGGGATACATTATGACTGTATTACGTCATATATTACGAATATGTTTCACATATTACGACTGTATTACAAATGGTACTACTGTAGTTTGCATATAGCGACTGTATTACGTCATATATTACGACTATGTTTCACATATTATGACTGTATTACACGTGGTACGACTGTAGTTTGCATATGTTGATTGTATTACATCATATATTACGACTATGTTGCACATATTACGACTGCATTACACATGGTACGACTGTAGTTTGCATATAGCGACTGTATTACGTCATATATTACGACTATGTTTCACATATTATGACTGTATTACACATGTTATCTTTTAGTATTCTTATTATGATGCGCACATC